AAACCGTGTGGTATGGAATATCAACTTCCGATATAATAGACTACCGGATTTGGTTATCACGTAATTCCAAAATCTTATTCTCCAGTTGGATAATGTTTACATCTCTCCTAATTTTGAGGACGGGATTATATGAGAATCTTAACATAATGGGTTTTTCTTTGTTAAATCAGCATACATACTTCTATTTTTTGATAGAGTTCATAACGCTAATCTCTCGTATGGTTCTATCTGGAAGTGGCTTATCCCTTCTAAAATTCAAGCTTTCTTATGGATTGCCTACCAAGGAAAATGCCTAACTATAAACAACTTGCAAAAGATGGGTAAAAATTTTCTTAACATCTACCTGATGTGTAAAAATGATGACGAAACGGGTATACATCTCTTCATACATTGCCCTTTTGCTTTCATTTTATGATACTGGGCTTTCTCTTTGATGGGTCTTTTCTTTATGCTTCTACGTAACCTTACAAGCATCATTAATCATCTTGTTGCAACTAGTCTTTTAAAAAAGGGTATTTTGTTATGAAAAAATTTCAAAAGTACTATCATTTGACATCTTTGGCTATAGAGAAACAACAGAATCTTTGATGGGGTCTCTCATAGAGTATTGAGAGGGTGAAGGCTCTTATTTTGTTAGCGCTATGGAACTGGTTCTCATATACGTCTGAAGGATGGGGAACTCTTCAGACTGACATTTTTGTGAACCTTAAACTTCTTGCAAACTCCTTTACTTACTCAAGTCGTTCCACAAGATTGTGGTCTTCACCACCAAAAGCCTGCCTCAAACTCAAATTTGATGGCAGTTATTTTGGAAACCCAGGCCCAGCAGGTATTGGTGGCCTATTACGTGATAGCTCAAGGGGGATACTATTCTTTTTTTTTTGCCTTGGTGGCTCTATGACTGCCAATCAAGCTGAATTACTTGCTCTCCTTCAAGGTCTACAAATTATTATTGATAGGGGCTTCATTGAAGATATTGTTACTCAAGGAGATTCACTTAACGTTATCAAATACTGTAGGAAAGAGCAAAGGGTTCTATGGTCTCTGTTCTCTGTTTGGATTAAAATTCTAGACCTTTGTGCTTCACCATCTTTGAGGATTTCATTCAGCCACAACCCTCGTGAAGCAAATGCCAAGTTCGCTTATGGTCTTGCCAAGTTTGGAGTTTGTCTTCCTTCTCTTCTTGTTTCTAACGAGTTGATTCCAATATAACACCATGCTCTTGGAGTAACTTTTTAATAAAATCCCACAATATTCGTTAAAAAAAAAGATGCCAATCATGTGTGTTTAGGCACATGATAGGTGTACATATGGTTACATTATTGACACCATTTACAGTATTATTGGCAAAAAAAAGAAGAAGCTCATAATCAAAGGGTATATGATGGTAAAAAAAAAAATGGTAAAAAAAGATCAATAATAAACTCATAGTCATAAAGTGGCAAGGGATCCAACTAGACTCGAGACCCGATGGGTCTAAGTACATATATAAATTTTGGACCCGAATACTATTCAGGTTCTAGTCCAGCTGGATCCGACCTGTAACTGATTTGTTGCCACCACTATAGCCAGATCTCTCCCAAACCAAGCCCATCTTAAAGTATGCTGTTTGTCTTTTCTTTCTTAATCTACGCCATCCCTTTGTGTATGTATATAATTTGAAGAAATATAAAATTAAAAATCAAAAGGGAGCATTTTTAGCAGCGTAAGAGGTGAACCGTGAATGTCGGTTATTGGTTCCCCTCTAATTGAATTCAGGTGCAATATGTTTCATCCATTATTTAGACAATGCAAGTATCAGGGGATGTACCTGTTACGGTATGTTCCCTAAAATACCAAATACATTTCCTATTTGGTGTGGGAAAATTTTAAGTTGCAACCTTAAATTATAGAAGTAAGGCGCAACTAAAAAGCTAGTAAAGAAGAATGTTCTAAAGTTCGAAAACCTTCTAATTGATCATCTCAACCTAGAGACATATGGTACAAAGAAAACAAACAATTTTAAGTCATAAAATAGTTATTGTAGCAAGTTATCTAAACCGTTTATTTTCAAAATTTTGAAATGTTATAGATCTACTCAATTTGTACTATTTTTAAAATTTTAAATTTCATAATTAGGGTTAAATATAGATTTTCAAGTCATCGTGAGGTTTTGGATTCAAGAACTACATCGTCATCATTATCGTCCACGTGATTCCAAAGCTACATCTTTCAACAAAATTTAAAGGTCTGCATTATTTTTATTAAACAAGGTTGATACATTATACAAACCTCACCCATTTGGTAATGGTTGAGGAATGTTTAGTTGCAAGCCCCAATACAAATTCACTATAAAATTTGACATTTAATTGAGAAATAATGTCACAATAAATTTATATAGGGCCAATGCAGCTCGACTTGATTTTTTCTAGATGGGGCTAGCATCAAGCCTCCTTATAATAAATTTGAGTTGGATCGGGCTGAAATGTAAGGCCCAACGTTTTTCTTTATCTATATAAGTTATGTTTTTACTTTTCTAATGAGTGAGGTTTGTATAAGGTACTTTTTTTTATGAGTAATGATCCTGTGCGACCCTCTTTAAATTTTGCCCCGAGATAAACCTTATGATGGACTCGAAATCTATTTTTATCCCTAGTGATTCACAATAAAAATTCTAAAATGATACAGATCGAGTACATCTATAAATACTTGAAAATCTCGAAAATAGATGATCTAGATAATTTCTTATAAGATGTATTATTTATAAGACCTGAAAATTAGTTTGTTCTTCATATCCACACAAGATCCAAATGATCAGTTGGAGGGTTTTCCAACATTGGAACACCCCCTTTTAGAGAATGTTTTAGGTGATACAATGTTTTTTCTATACTATTGCACACGAGTTGCAGTATTAAACACACGCAAAAGCAGAAAAGGAAAAGTATTTGGTGAGTCAGGGCTCGCACCTTGTACCATGTGACACACTGCATCAGGGCTCGCACCGTGTACCATGTGAGGCCCGAGATATACACCATCCAAAAAATGAATGGTGTAGATCACACCCACACATCGAGAGAAGGGAACCGGGGCTAGGCAGCCCCATCCCATCTCTCACCCAAAAGCTCTAATCCCTCTTTCCTCTCTCATGATTCTACTCACTCAAAATGTCCCTCCACCTTCGTTTCTCTCTCATGGTGTAGTCATTCTCTCTCTACCCACCAATCTCTCTGAAGTCTAACAGATTCTCTCTTCTTTTCTCTCCTCCTAGTTTCTCTCATAGATTTAGGCTCTCTGGACCCACTTCTATATGAAATCTAACCATTTCCTCTCTTCCTCTCTCTCCTCCAAGTTTCTCTATCATGGCTTTAGGCTCTCTCTACCCACCTCCTCTCAAATCTAACCATTCTCTCTCTTCTTTTCTCTCCAAAATATATACATATAGTGAGAGAGAATGATGTTGCAGGGAGCAGTATCAGGCCATTGTTCTTCAACTTTGAACAATATTTTTCTGCATCTTCAATGGAAATGCCCTCAATGGTGGAAATGGTAGTAAAATGATAGTGATGGGTACGAAAGAGGAAGCCATGGTTATTGTTGCGAGGATCATGGCGTCATTCTTCTATGAAGCTGCTCTCAATGGTAGAAATGGTGATAATTGTTTGCGACAAAATTGAAAGAGGAAACCATAGGTTGTTGGAGCAAGGATCATTGTGCCATTCTTCTCTATTTGTAATTTAAAAAATATACAATGGTCATAAAGCAACAACAACAAAAATCGCAATGTCTCGAGGTCAATGCAATAATCTGATGAATTCTGCAAACTCATGAGTCTATGGCACCCAAGCATTTATTCCTATTCCTATATTTCCAGGAATGTCTTTATTAAAATAATGAGAATAGAAAGATGCCATTTCTTAGGTGATGCCCAACATCATAAAAATTCTGCATGTATTACAAATATCATACATCACACCGACAAAATAGTAATCAAATTGCCCATCAACTAATTTTCCTTTTCAAGGCATCAACTATCAAGGTGTTTAGGGACACTATCCCAAGTCTTTGATAGTTCCCATTTGTTATTGAGCTCTATCCACTGTACATAGTTTTCCATTGTACAAATAGAAATATTCAATTGAGGTCGTAAAGATTACAACATTAGAAAACCTTTCTTGCTGCAACTTTAGTGACAATTTCATAAACACGACGAAATTTAATAAAAGGAAATCTACCATCCAGATAAAAGTGTCAAACTAAAATGGTTTTTTAGCAAGCTTGAGAGGTCTGTTCACATCAGACCAGGCAAATTACAGAACAAGAACCCCATTTTCAAATAGATTCACTTAGCACACTTAAACTAAACTGCTCTTACTATGCAAGATACAAAACCCTAACTTCAAGAGCTATATTCAGTACATAAGCCCATATATTACCACAGACAGTGCTGCATAGCCAAAAACAGTGACACCGTTATGAAGCCCAGTGGTGCATTAAATACTACATTTTAACAAAGAGGGAATGGTGCACACTTCCATGCAACTGTTCTCACTCCAAAATCCTTACAATAAGATCCATATTCACGACAGAAGTCCATAAGTGACTAGTCAGTACTGTTGAACCAAAAAATGGGATCAGATTAAGAAGCCTAGTGGTTCGCTAAATACTCCATATAAAGGAAACTCCACTCGGAATGTCTAAAGCGCTCAAAAGGATAATGACTCTATGCTAGTCCCAATTAAAAGATCACATTGTAGACAGTGAGACGTGTTGGAAGAAATTGAAAAAGGAAAAAAAAAAGAAAGAAGCAAATTGGAAATTGTAGAGCATTATTTTTCAATTGTCTCGCAACAGAGGAAGTAAGATAGATGAGTATCAAGAATGGAAATGAAACGAGATAGGAAAAGCAAACCATATATACAATCCAGAAAAGTACTCCGATTTTTAACAGTTGAATTCCCAATCTACCATACCTATGAAGCAAAATATCAAAATAAAGGACGAGAAAAGTGAAAATGTGCATGTCAGAACCACAAGTACTTTCTTTGAACTATGTTAATTGGAAAAGAATTTCAGATTCCTTGTCAATACCGGTACAAAAGTGCATATTCGTGAGTGAATCCCTAAAAATCAAAATCATACATTTATGTTGCATCACAAACACTCCAGATGCCATTGTAGTGTACCAGTTTTCTGCAATTGACCAGTAATCAAGAAAGAGAGATCCATCCTGAGCTCGCTCATCCCGCTCAACCAAAGTACAGGATACCAACTTTTCAAGACCCTTTACACCATTCCAAACCCAAACAACATTGAACATGGGCATACACAAAACAGTTCTTTTTTCCACAAAACTCAAATCCATAGAAAGTTGCTCGCAAAAGACATCGTTGTCAAGCAACCTCAAATGTAAGAGTAGTGATGATAGGTTAACTGCTCCCATCCAGTAGATTCCAAAATGCTTTTGAGCTTATTACTAAAAGAGGCCCTACCAATATCCAAAGTCGAGCATTGAGCCTACACTCTTGAAGTACAAATGTGCGCCTCTTCTGTTATTTACAAACTGGGCATAAGAAGAAAAAAATTGAACTAAGTAGGCTAAATTGGTGATCTGGAAACCCACGTTTCAGAGGCAATTGAATATCATCTGGAAGCTCAAACAAATGAAAGAAACTGATTGAGAGTCTAACAGCAGGAGAGTTGCAAAAAATGAATAATACCAAATCATGCAACTTCAGTGTTGTCGTTATACACAAATAATTCGGGATAGAAGTACTAAAATGTGCTTAAAATAGATCAACAAAAGAAGCCTACTGCAAAGTATACAGAATTACAGACAGATCCATTCCAAAAACTCATAGAGAAGCATTTGTTGCATATATACATACACATTGTAACAAGATGTCAATATTTTGTTGGATGGTACTGTGCTGAAACCCAACAGGGAGAGCTTGTTACTCGAACAATGAAAGATAACTCTTCAATGAAATGTAAATCCAACGGGGAGAGCTTGTTACTCGAACAATGAAAGATAACTCTTCAATGAAATGTTAATTGAAAAATAACACTGACAATGATCACAAGACATGGCCTTAGTGAACAAATCAGTTGGTTCCTGCGCACAGGATATCAGGTGAGGAGATAAGACCAGCTATGAAATTTTGTTAGAGAAATGACAATCACCTATCCTATCATAAATGACAAGATTAGGAGCAATTCAAATAGCTGTGAGATCGTTAACTTTTATAGATATGTAGATGCAAGAAAATAACCACTCAACTTCGAGAAAAGAGCAGGCAGCTGATAAGAGAAGTACCAGTAGATAAGAAAAGCACAAATGCTCAATTTTGTTAGAGAAGTGACAATCACCTATCCTATTATAAATGACAAGATTAGGAGCAATTCAAATAGCTGTGAGATTGTTAACTTGTATAGATATGTAGATGCAAGAAAATAACCACTCAACTTCGAGAAAAGAGCAGGCAGCCGATAAGAGAAGTACCAGTAGATAGAAGAAGCACAAATGCTCAAGTTCTACAAAAAAACAGAGAGATTATCCTGCTTTGTACCAAGAGAAAAGAGAACTACCAAGAAACAGTGTACAACTACCAGTCATGTGATTGTTACTTAAAACAGTGTATAATTTCCAGCACATGATTCCTTCACACCCAACAAAATTTAAGCTCCTCATCTATTTTCCCCTTGAAACTAATTAATATACATATGTTCTAAATATAGCAAACAAATTATTTTCAGGTTTCAATAATTTATCATGTCGCAAGATATCAGTTGCTCATATAGTGATTGACTGCAGCGTACGGTGACCATTATCCAGGGCAGGGGGAGGAGCTTCTCCAGCAGTCAAAATTTGCACACAGATGGTGCTTCTTATTCAGATTGCACAGAAATGGTTTGGACTCAATTTATTTGCAGAAAACAGATGTTACACCTTTTCACTCTAATGAGCCACCAAAAGAAATAAAATGAAAAGATAATCTCAGCAGTCCACTCCGTCACAATCAATTAACAAATGACTTCTTGCAAAATTAGTACATTTAGTTCAATAAAAGGTAAAGGCATCATAGGATAGGAAATATCTCAACACAGGAGACCCAAGCCAATTTAAAGATTTTTCCCATTCATTTCATTAAAATGTTGGGAATCACTAAAAAGCTGAAATTGAAAACGGTATATACAAAAAGCTTTAGCATGATATTTTGGACTGATGTTACTGTGAATCTATTTGGTTCTAGATATTCTTAAAGGGAATTGATGGAAGTAGTGAGAGAAGATATGGTGACATAGATATCGACTGACTGAGGATATGACCCTCGACAGATCAGAATGGCAAAAGGGAATTCATTTAGCTTACCCCAAATAATTGTAGAAGGCTCGGACGATGATGATATTCTCAAAGGTATGGTGCTTTTCAAAGGGCGGGATCCAAGACTGCAACTCAATGTGGCAATCCATCAAAAACTAAACAAAAAACTGAGCATGTCCCCTGCTGTTTGGCTCCATATGCTACAGCTCAAGTAGAGCATTACTTAATCTGTGTGGTCTTGACTGGGTTATCCATATTCCTCCCTGTATATGGAATTGTATAAATCTCAAATAAGCTAGTAAGTAGGTAAGTATGCCCAATGAACCATTTTGCTGAAGCTTCCACTGATTCTTTCATTTGCTACCAATATTCCTTACAAGAGCAAGATCCATCCTTGAAATGATGAAATCTAGCACGATCCCTGACAACTATTTCTCGTTCATACACCTTGGAAATGAACTTTGTGGCATTGTGACAGTCTGAGCAAACCCTAAGGTTCTTCACAATGCGAATTGGGGTCCCCGGTGGGGTGTTGATCAACCCAAAAGCAATTGCCAACTTCTCACTATGCCAAGAAAGAGCAGTCTCCTTATCTTCCTCAGCCAAGTCCATCAACACCTCTGTACTCTCAGGTACATAGCCTGCTAACCTCAACCTACTCAACATCTCATCCAGGAACGAGTATATCTCCCTAGTTTGGGGATGCGATCGATCACCAACAAGAAATTGATGAAATGCACCCTTCAATTCTATGGATGTACAACCTGGAATCTTCTTCACCCCAATGCGTTCGATCAAGGCCCTCACATCTTTCGCATCCCTCCATCGACCAGAAGATGAATATATATTTGACAAGAGAACATGACAACCAGTATGAAGTGGAGCACACTCAATAAGCTCTCTTCCAACTTGTTCAGCCAAAACTGTATCGCCATGAATTCTACAAGCGCTGAGTAAAGCACCCCATATAGCAGCATCAGGCTTCATGGGCATTTTCGATATGAGCCCTTTGGCCTCTTTCAGAAGGCCTGCACGCCCTAAAAGGTCCACCATGCAACCATAGTGCTTAATTGTGGGTACCAAGCCATAGTAATTCCTCATCAACTCAAAATACCTTTGCCCCTCAGCCACCAAACCTGCATGGCTGCATGCATTGAGCACAGCAACAAAAGTTATATCTCTTGGGACAATGCCTGCCATTTCCATCCGTGAGAAAAGGTCAAGTGCATCACTAGCACACCCATGTGTGGCAAGACCGCTGATGGCAGCATTCCAAGGAGAGGCCGTCTGCTTAGTGCTCTCCTCAAAAACTTGGAGGGCGGTTCTTATCTCCCCACATTTTGCATACATATCAATAAGAGCGGCCACCACCCTTTCATTCACAACAAGCTTCTTACTCCTTCTCTTGTCGCTCGCAATGTATGTGTGGATCCACTTCCCCTGATCGAGCGCCACAGAGTCAGCACATGCCGAGAGTGTACTCACCAGAACAAACTCATTGGGTGCAGGCTCACCGGCAAGCAACAATTCTCGAAAGAGGTAAAGTGCATCACTGGCCCTCTCTGTATGTGTGTAACCAGAAATGAGCGTGCCCCATGAAACAACATCCCTCACTGGCATCTTGTCAAAGAGCAACTGAGCATGACTCATATCACCAGACTGAACATAGGCTGCGATCATTGAGTTCCAAGAGATGAGGTCCCTATGAGGGCACTCTTCAAATACTTGGCAAGCATCCCAGAGCCGATCACATGCTACATACATGTGGAGGAGTGTGTTGCTCACATAGAGATTGTTGGGGGTGAACCCGTGCTTTAGGGTGTGGGTATGGATTTGGGTTCCTTCAAGTAGGCCAGAGAATTTGGAGCAAGCATGGAGAAGAAAAGAGAAGGTGTAATGGTTTGGGAGGAGGCGGAGGTGACAGAAGCGTGTGGCAAAGAGAGAGAGAGAGTGGCAGGGGTAAGGGGAATTGGAGAGTGCTCTGATGAGTGTGTTGAAGGAGAAGAGGTCAGGAGAGGGAGTGTAGTCGAAGAGTCGGGAGGCGTAAGGGAGGAGGACAGGGGAGAGAGAGAGGCTTTTGATGAGGCGGCTCACAGCAAAGGGGCTGAGGATGAGGGAGGAGGTGATCATGTGGGCATGGATCTGCTTCAATTGAGAGAGAGAAAGGGAGGAGTTTAGAAGAGAGAGAATTGGATGGCTGAGGTTCAATGCAAAAGGGTTTTCACAATTACTGTTCAGAGTGGTCATGGGGAGAGAGAGAGAGAGAAATTAAAAAACGATTCAAGGAACAGAGTTGGGGGGGATCTTGGAGTAATAGGTCCTCAACTGAATGTGGAAACTCCAATTCACAAGCACCACCGGATAAAGCCACGGCCTTGGCCACCATTAAATGACCCAACCTCAATTCCTCATTCTCAAACCCATCTTTCATTAAGCACTTCACCCAACCATTCAATCTCTTCATTTTAGCACCAGAAATTCCCCAACAATCAATCTCTTCACTATACAAACCATCCTTCCCCAGGCCCAAAAGTTCGCAGAGTTCCCAAATCTCACCATCATCTCCATTGAACTCACCGCCCTCCTTCTCGACACCAATGGTTTCCTGATGGTTCGAAAAATCTATCGAGTTGTTGGGCAAGGGTGAATTATCAGAAAGAAACTCCAAAGGTGGTTGGCTCTGGCTTCCTCCTTGTGGTATTAAGGTTTCCGCTGGGTACTGGATATGAATGACTGAACTGAACCCTGTGTCATATTCAGAGCTTGGAGGAAAGCTGTGAATTTGGGGGATTGGGTTTTCTTTGGATTTGTCTTCTGATGCTATCCTTCTCTCCACCTGCAATCAAATTTGAGCAACAAAACAACAAATAATTGAGAGTTTTATTTGCTTATTCGAGTGAACCATCTCCATCATTCTGAGAAGCATAAACCAAGGAAGAAGAGGAGTTTTCTCGTTACCTGTTTGAGAGAGGAGAAGAAGTTCGCATGGGGAGAAGCCTCCATTTCTGTAGAAGCCAATTTTAAATCTCGTGCAGAAGAAAAACAAGAGCAGTGGCCCAATACCTTAACATTGAAATGCTAAATTAAGGGTGAAAAAAACAATGTAACGCCCTTGTTGTATCATTAAGATCTAGAGAAAAAAAGATTTTGATTATGAAAACGTGGAATTGAATCTTATAAACTACGCATAGAACATCTGAAATTTTGGGATGTAATCTCTACAACGTATTACAACCTATTACAGTGAAAAGAATTCTTAAAACAAATTTTCTATGTACAAGAAAAATTAACACCTCATGATTGAATAGTGGCTGTCCAATTTTTTAAGGCCTAGATCTAAGTGTCTAGAAACTCAAAATTCAAATTTTTTATTTCAAAATAATCATCTTGTAATTTTTATTTAGTTCCCAAGATTTTAGACCAAAAAATTCAAAATTCAAATTTTTTATTTTTAAAATAATCGTCTTGTAATTTTTATTTAGTTCCCAAGATTTTAGACCAAAAAATTCCTTCTGTGTTTTGAGTGAGGAAGTAAACGTACAGGGGAGCATAATAATCATACTCATTTTCAAAGGTGGTTATTTTTTTAGCTTTAAAACTTATAATTAGGGGGTGATAATATATTGTCAGACCATTATTACATATTTGGTCACCATTAGTTCATAAGGGAGAAAATAGATTTTCAGTCTAAGACTGCATCTTTCAATAGGTTTGGAGGTGCCCTTCACTTATTTAAGGTGTTCATTTTATAATGTCTTTAAATTAAGTAAGAGTCTGGTTTCCATATAGCCCCAACCTTAAACAATCAAATTAAGGTACATCCACAAATTTTCTCATGAAATGTAATTTTGGTGTCGAAAATTTTTAGGATGGTACGAGAATCTACTCTTATGTCTATTTATAAAATTTTAAACTTTAAAAATAGTTTAAATCCAACTGATCTATAAACGCATGAAAATCATGAAAATAGACAGGCTAAGATAATGTGTTGCAAGATGTACTATCTATCTTGAAGGCTTGAAATCCTTTTTTTTTCTCCATATTTATACATCTCGATGTCGAGATGACCAATTAGATGTTTTTCAACATCAAAACTACCTTTTTTCGAAAGATCTTAGAAGTGCACCTTAATTCTACATTTTAAAGTGTTAACCATATATAAACTTTTTTTACTAAATAATGGTACATCTTTGTACAAAAATTTGAATTTGGAGCTAAAGTTTATACATTTTTACTAAATAATGGTACATTTTTGTACATCTTTGTACAAAAACTCCACACTTTCAATTTGAGAGGTGAAGCTCATAGAAGTGAGAATCCTCCCTCTCTTTCATTCATCGCATGCCCTCTATAGGAGCAAAACTGATGTGTTATTGAACCTTTTAAAAAAGGGAAAAGTTTGTATAAGATTGCAAATGTAGAACTACGGATGCACCTCAAAAATCCATCAGAAAATGTTGTTTTAATATTAAAAAACCCTCTAATTGATCATCTCGACATGGAGATGAATGACTATGACTCCAAAAAGGATTTTGAGTCCTAAAAATGGTACATCTTACAACACATGATCTAGACTGTCTATTTTCAAAAATTTCATATATTAGATCTACTTGATTTTAATCATTATTAGAGTTTAAAATTTTATAATTAGATATGAAAATAGATTTTGAGATAATCTTAAGAATATTTTACATCAAAATTCAATGTTACGATAAAATTTGAAGGTGCACCTTAAATAGATTGTTTAAGGTTGCAACCTTATAGAAACCACACCCTTTAAGAGAAACCAAGTGTTCTATTATAATTCAAAGCATTAAATTTTCAAGATCTGAAGTGCAGTAGTATCGTCATTTTGAAAAAAAACTATGAAAAATTGGATACGAATGTAATAACATAAAATTTTAGAGACTTTTTAAATAAAATAACTTTAAGAGGAGCATCTTCATCATCATCCAAACATTACTTCAATGATTTGGAAAAAAAAATAAAATTAAAAAAAGATACGTGTAAAATTTCTTTTTCTTTTCGTTTTTTACATGTTAATAGTGGAATGGAGGGTGGGAAGTTATATTAAGACATCCACGTCCTACCGACGAAGGCCCCAGCCCCATTCCCTTATACATAGTTTCTTTATTTTACTTTGTTTTCGTTCTCAAATAACCTCCCCTTCTTTTTATATTACACCTCTTCTAAAAGCTTTTTATCAATCATTTTCTAATGCCTCAACAAATCAATATGGTTCCATTTCCATTTTTTACTTCTCGAAGTAAAATTCTTTCTTTGTCAAGGTTATTTTCAGAATTAGTTTTTTAGTCAATAATTGGCTTTGGTTTTATTGAATCAATAGCTTGCAACTAGTGGTTACACTAAAAACAAAATTTGCAATTTGTGCACCTTTTTTCTTTTTTAATACTAGTGTTTCAGAGAAATGTGGACCGCGGCCAGGCGAGGCCACCACCACCCTGGACCAGGCCCGGGCCTACGTCATGACAGGACTGGCCTTGTTCAGCCAGGATGGCCCTCTTTTCCTTGTCTTTTTTTCCCCTTTGATTATATTTAGCCCAGACTAGCCCAGACCCTGGTAGCCCAATTCGTACTAGGATGGCCTTATGGGGACCAGTGTCAAGCTAGATCCAAGGCTAGCATGGCCCACGTCTAGCCTGTTGCCATTCCTCTCTATAGCAATCATCTTAGGTTCTAAGTAATCCACTAGGTCTTATTTACGGGTAAGTTTTTTATGCTTCCTTTACTGTATAAAACTTATATATTTCTTCTTATTCAACCGTGGAGGGTTAAAATTGTTTCAATCATAATGTCACTTCTCTCCACTATTTTATTTTTAATTTTTTTCTATAAACGATTTTGACACCAAACTTTGTACATCCAATCCTCTATTAAACTCGTACTAGTGAAAAATATAAAAAAAATATTTTCAGTAAAATAAAATAATCAAAATACCCATAAGAGCTTCAAGGGGTATTTTGATCATTATATTTTATCGAAAAATTATTTTTAATAGTTTTTATAGGCGTACCCCAATAAGAATATGGCACATACCAAATTTCATATTCATACAATTTGTATAAAAAAAAAATTAAAAATAAAATACTTTGAGACTTCGGATCTAAAATAAAAAAGTAGATGGCTCTTTTGATCAAAATTAAAAAGCTGAATGGTAAAAAAAGCATAGATATTCTATGCTATAGGGGAAGTATAGAAACCTTTCCCCTTACTTATATGCTCATAAATGCATCTTTGACATGGACACATTAATATAGTACATCTTTGTATTTAGTCTCTTTCTATGTGCGTGGCTTAGAGCCCTAATGCAGCAAAAACACTACCGCACGAAAGTTACAACACATCATAAGGATGTTACGAATCTTTTATGGAGTCAAATCACCATTTTTGTAGTTAATGTTGAGCCTCCTTCCGATATTCTTCTTGGATGAGTTCCTCTCCAATCTAGTATGCCATCTAAATCTCATATTTAAATTAATATTTCTAAGAAATCTTGATATATATATATAAATAAAGATGAAGTTTCTATAAAGCTTAGGTTCTATGAAAACAAAATAGAGCCTCACCCCAAATCCTTGACTAGGGAGCACTTTTAATAACACAAATATCCATGATAGTTCTAAAATTAATTTCCAACACCGACAATAAAATTTGAAACTAAAAAAATAGTACAGATCTTACAGATATTTGGATACTTATTTTTAGGATGAAATAAATGGTATAAATTATTTGTTAAAATAAACAGTATCTTTTAGAGTTTCCCAATCCTTGAATTACAACTATAATGTTCAAGTCAAGATGATCGAAGTAAAGGTCTCCCAATGCTTGAATTACAATTCTCGACGAGTTATTAGATGAGGCTTCAGTTATTTTGATGGGACTGCGACACCATTTTCCTTGTTTAAATCGCCTATCATAATCTCCTTCAAATTCCCATCTCTCTTTATACCATAGACAAATCTTTAATTCTGTGAAAAGTCCTTCTACCCACAACAGGCGGAACTTCAAAGAAATAGCTCTCATTAGTCCCACACTAGTCATACCCAAAAATATGTTGGTCTATAAAAAATTCTCTCAAATGCTATATGGGGAATTAGACCCCTGGGCCTTACAGAGTGACTATTGCATGAGTGTGATTGAATTAAACCTTGCATGGCTTTAATCCAACGTAGATCCTAAAACCTTTTTATAATTTACATCCTGATGCGACTATTCTATAATATAGAAGTGCACATGATGAGCATGCTTCCTATTACACCATGCAAATTGCGACTATTCTATAATATAGAAGTGCACATGATGAGCATGCTTCCTATTACACCATGCAAATTGCTCGCATGACTCTGATTGCCCTTATAGACCATGTAACTATGAAGTGGAGACTTGATTGCACTGCTTTAACATGACTTCTAGTGGTCATGTTTGATTCTAGTGGGTTGGAATCAAAGCTAAAAAAATGAATCAGGTCAAAGCGGAATAATGGCAGGGTCAGGGAAAAGCCATTAACATAAGACTCCGATTAGTACCTAGAGAGACCAGTGCACACATGATTCTAATTAACCATACAAGTATGTAAAGGTCTTTTGTCGAGGATTCTCTTTTACAATTTTTTTTTTTGAAAAACTATTATATTGTGTTTCATCCATCCAGCTCATAAAATCCTTCAATTGTGAAATCTAACTTTCATTGGTCTACATAGAGCCCAAGTAAAAAAATTTGGATTGTAACATACTTTTCAATATACATGCATATAACATATCGCACATTGAAAATAAATTTGTTCAAAATATCAAAATTCAAACCATACAAAATTAAAACAAAAATTAAAAGTATAATAGTAATAGTCTCCTTCCAAAGTACATAGAAATTTTAAACCTTCTAATAAACCTCGTGTTGCCCCCTCATTTGTTGCTATGATACTACAAGGATCCGAATAAAAAAATATGATGTGACCCAAATTATTTTTGATGAGACCACTATAGCCAGTTGGCCCTAGATTGCCAAGTGAACTTCTATCAAAATTAAGTTTGAAAGAATTCACTGGTGGTGGTATCTAAACAACCTCACTACGAGCGTTGGTGGTCACACTCATAGTCATCGCTGCCAAGGGATTGCTAATGATAAGACTTTTAGTAATAAAGCCATTATCCTTACGTGTAATGAACCAATTAGCTGCAACTGCCAAAATATTCGATTTTAATGTAGACAAATCTGTACTTATACTATTAGTGACTCTTCTATTTCTTTCCTTCCACACACTCCAAAGAAGGCTAACCC